GTATTCTCCAATGCATTGAATGACACTCTGTCTGCTCGCAGTTAATAGCCAACCAGTGCAATAATATAAGTGCTGCAGCTTAATTTGCCAAATGTTCCGCCCCCTCCTCCCCCTCATTGGAGAAAATCACGTTCAAAAAGAAGGCGTGTGAAGCTGTAATCCAAGCGATGACAGAAGTAGACGTGGAGGAGTGGGATGACTTTCTTTTATCTTATTTTTTAATTTTTACAATGTTTTTGTAATGTATTAATTATCACGGGCTGTAAACAGTGTGTGATACAATAGTGCTGTTGCGCATCTGAGCCTCGGTATCAATCGTCCCATCACTAGAAAAAAATATTTCAAGCTTACCGTTGTGAATCGGGCAAAGGTAAGGAGATAGTTTTGAACACTGGCTGGTTAGGTATTTGCCCAAATATTGATTTTGGATATTTAAAAAAAAAAAAAAGTTACGGACTGCAGCTTTAAATGATGTCATATCATTGTCGTTTAAGTCTCTCGATAACTTGCGGTTCAGTAAGTGAGTCAAATTATTTCAATATTAAATATTTTATAATTAATATAAAAGAACTGTCTTATAAGAAACAATCATTCAAGAATCGGACTTCATTTGCCCTGTATGTTTGTGATTCAGTTAAAAGAACTTGCTCATATTAATTTGGTAATCGTTGTACGTTTTTGATTCACTAAAAAGAACTGGCTCGTAAATTGTTATAAACAGGCAGCGGTTTTTTTATTTTATTTTATTTTTTTTATAATCCGGTTATGAAAAAAATGCTTTCGGTTAGGGTTATGGCCATAGGGGTTACGGCTGACGGCACTGAACTACATTATCGGTGATATTATGCTTCACAAAACTTAATGACATACGTCATAGAATTCAAAATTTGACCGTTATTTGGCAGTCAAGCACCGTCTCCGTAATGAGCCCTAGCATGAAAATTCTCATTTTTATGTGTGCTTTGGGGTGGGGGGTACTTTTTTATTTTGCCGCGATCAGTACTCCGTCCGAAGAGCGTGAGTTTTAACTTTAACTTTATAAACAATGAGATCAGTGCACTACTTTCAGCGAATTTGGTAACTTAACTGTGTTTTTACCAATCTCCTAGATTATCTGTGCGGACACAGGCCTGAGAGAGTGGTTGCACGTCGAGATAAACGGATGATTGGAGGCCAGAAGGTCAAAGTGAGCTTTTGGCCGTGGCAGGTGTCTGTACAGTACCAGCCCAATTCATCTGCCCCGTTCATTCAGGTCTGCGGTGGAGCTATCGTCCACCGATACTGGATAATGACAGCAGCTTCATGTGTAAATGAGCAGCAACAAAGGTAATATGTACACTTTAATCCTAAACAGCCAGTATTTATCTGCGTATTGCCTCTGATAATGTTGCATTTCCTCCCACAGCCAGTTTTTGATCCGAGCAGGAAGCAATAGATTGGATGTTAATGATAAATCCACACAGCAATCAGAAGTCGCCAAAATGATTAAACACAAACGATTCAATCCTGTCACTTTGCGGTACAATATAGCTCTTTTAGAAATGACGTCCCCTTTTGAGTTTAATGAGTTTGTCCACCCCATCTGTGTGCCTGATGAAAACACTGCCGATCATAGATATGAATCGTGTCACATCACAGGATACAACGCTCAACCTGCTGGTGAGTTGACACTGCAGCTATTTACAATAGCTGACTTGAAGATGTTTGTATTATATTTTATATTTTTACGTTTATCAGGTGATATTGGCGTACTGCAAGAGGCCAAAGTGGATTTAATGTCACGGTCCTTGTGCAATAAGCCAGAGTATTGGAACTATACTGTGGCAGCAGACATGCTTTGTGTTAGTGAATTCGGTGGTGGCGTTGACGGATGTGAGGTATGTTTTAATACACTTCTTAGTGCTTTAACTCTATGAACTTTATAAAGTAGTTAAAGACATTGAACTACCTCTACATTGGAAATGCATAGGATATTATCCTAGTACCATATTATCAGTGAACAGAAGAGATTTTCAGATTATTTTTTTAACGATTTAATTGCACGTATTTTTACATTCAAATTTTTGGTGTCAGTAAGATTTTTTTAATTCAGCAAGAAAGTGACCGAAATCTTGTCAGAAAATTGTGTAAATGTCTTCAATGACCATTTCAAATAAATGCTTTTCTATTGCTTTTACCTTTATATTAATCAAAGAAGACTGTAAAAATCACAGTTTCACAAAAAATAAAATAATGAACATAACTGTTTTCAATTTTGATATTAATTCGAATGTTTCTTGAGCACCAAATCAGCATGATTTCTGAAGGATCGTGTGACACTGAAGACTGCGGCTGCTGAAAATTCAGCTTTGCAGGCATAAGATTAAATTACATTTTAAAATATATTAAAATAGAAAGCTGGTTTTAAATTGTATTGATATTACGCAATTCCTTTCAAAAACATTAACAAAATCCTACAGACCCCAAACATTTGAATAGTATATCAAATTTAAATATCCATTTTTAATACTGTACATCAGGGATCCTCAAATCTGGCCCACGAGATCCACTTTCCTGCAGAGTTTAGCTCTAACCTGAATCAAACACACCTGAGCAAGCTAATCAATGTCTTCAGGATCATTAGAAAATCACAGGTAAGTAAGTTTGATCAGGGTTGGAGCTAAACTCTGCAGCACATTGGCCCTCCAGGGCAAGATTTGAGGAACCCTGCTGTACATCTTGCCAAAGTTCACTTGTAGCATTTAAAATGGTTGATTTCAGTTTTTTTTTTACAAAATAGTTTATTTTTGAAGTGAGTTAAGCCACTTATCTGAACTATTAATATTTGTTATATCATTTGATATATTTATATATAATAATATATTGTGCATGTATGTTTATGCCATAACATGCAGACAAATCTTGGTGGACCGCTGAACTGCTATATCAAAATTGAGGAGCGCTACTTTTTGATTGGAATTCGGGTGAAGGCCACTTCTTGTGGAAAACCTAACCGACCAAATGTTTATTTGAAAGTCTACAGCCTCTATTATTGGATTGAGCGTGAAATGAATATCACCTCAGATTAAATATGATTTTGCAAATACATAATATTTTGTATATACAGTCAGTAGGCCTAATTCAAATATACAGCAGAGTGTGCTTGTGTTATGATTGTATTGACATAAGAGCTAAAGTGATGAGTAAGAATCAGAGGGTATAGTGACCTCTGGTGGACAAATCTGAATTTAGCCTGAAGCTTTCAGCTTGTATCCTGATGATTTTATTTGATGATTCCTGGATTCATGAAATGTCATGCAAATAAAAGTGGATTATTCCTGAAAACGTGTGTGTGGATTATTTGAGGCCATAAATAGAATTTCTTAATATGCCCCTGTATTTATACCTACAGTAAGCTTGCTTTGAATGACAAGCATGTGCTGCATAATGGTCATTTCAGAACCTAAAAACAGCTCAAATAAATTAAATTCAGTATTTGCACTGATGTAGTTTTGCTAACCCTCATTACTGTTCCTATATTATCACGAAATCTTGGATTCATTATTTTTATTTATTTTCTTTCAATTAACTTAAAACAAATTGTAGATACAGATTTTTCAGCACAGCACATAGGTTAAATATAAATGAACTAGAACTGTTTTCATTGCTGTTTCAATGTGGAAGAGCACTAAATCTTCTTAGGCTTGTTATTTGCACATTGCTTACATAAAGTTACTGTAATAAAGACAGTAAAAGATGCAGTGATGACAACAATAAATTTAATTAACATAAAACTTTATGAATTTTGCACCAACACACTCAATATTTTGACAATTAAGAACTGAATTACAAATACAAAAAGAAAGGTTATGAGAATGTGTGCATTGTTAAAGAAAAGAGCTGCACAGAATTTCACATGTAAACAATCTGCAGGAAGAAATACAAATTTGATATCTAAGGCCATTTTGAAAAAAACATGTTAGGTGCTAATAAATGTTACTGTAATTTTATTAAGATAGAAAAGATATTTCCTCTCTTAGCTCACATTCTCTTTTTCCATATGTCGGTTAAAACACCCTTTTTGCTTTCTAGCACGCGCACTCTCTCTCTCACACACACACACACATCCAAAACACTGAAAAAACATTGAAGGGTTGTTCACTGTCTGCCACTCGGCGACCCCAGTGTGTCAGTGTGAACGGGGCTTACGAGAAACAATGAAAACAATGCATTTTGTGTGACGGTTGTAATGTGTAAAAAGATTTTTATTGTTTCCGCATCATGACCTTGAGTCACCGCTGCTAAGAACTGCCATCAAATATGAAAGATCAGTCAAGTTTTTTGGAGGACCAGATAACGGGGTCCATTTGTTTATACAGTAACACCAGTGAGACACTACAATACAAACACCTTCCATCTCTTCACCTTTCCAGTCACCTCGAATCAAAATAAAGACAGAAACACATTTAAAAAACAAGTTTCATAAGGCATGGAACTGTCTTCATCTCCAAACGTTTCTGTCACCCTCAATATACATGTTTAATGCATATAGATGTCAAGTTACGAATGTATTGTGTTAAAATTGCTGTGCTTTGAGTGAGGACAATGCCACAAACCCCTCCTCACTCCAGTTCTTACAGTTACAATTGGCAATGTGAGTAAAAAAAAAACCTGTTCACGCAATAATAAAATGCGGCACATTTTAAAACCATTAAAATGACTAGCAGTTTTGAATAAAAGAAGATATGTTTGTTTTGCTGGTGATAATGTTGATCCATAAAACTAAGTTAGCACTTCCAGAATGAAAACCGAAGGACACTCCTCTGGCCACGAGAGGAGATAAAGTGCGCAGAAAAGCTTTGTGTTAGTCCCTCGGGTCTAACTGCAAGAGCACAAGCGCTGCTCTATGGAAGAGGCAAATCTGAAGTGGCACCAGAAGTTGGATATCGAAGTCAATGCAACTGGCGAAGATGTGCTTTCACCTGTTTTAAAGGGCAGAAATGTGTTCTAAAAGAAGAGCACCACCCTCCTGGATGTCCAGAGAAGGTTGGATGGCTTGAGCCGGGTGACCGCCATTGGTCGAACAGGCCACAATCACATTAAAAAGAACATAAAAATATGTACAAGGCTCAGCGCAGGGGCAGAAAGAGGACTAGCCAGCTTCTTCCTCCATGTTGCGTGCTGACGGCACAGAGGAACGGCTTGTTGTGAGTGGTTCTTTGGGTGCCATGTTGAGCTTTAAGCACGTTAGTCCACACTCACATGTTGTACGCCACGTAGATGGGATCCAGCTGGTCGGCCAGGAAGGAGTCGCGCAGGTGCATGCGTTGCTTCTCACCCCGTGAGTTGATAGGGATGACGCCGGGGTCCACGATGACCACCACACCAACTATGAGGTGATGCTCTTTCAGGACTACATTAGTGACCAGGGGAACCAAATCGAGAGCTTCCTGCTCAGATCCACTGAGCTCCACTACAACCACCAGAAGGTTGGTCCATGTAAAGACAGCACTGTAAGATAAAGCATATGATCCAATCAGAGACATGAACTTAAAAACATAAGTATAAAGTATAGTAACAACAAAACTTGTTTAGTGTGGTAATCAGAAACTGATATGTTCAGACAGGAGTGTCAGTGTTCTTGAGGTTCTCACCTCTCAGCGATGCTGCGGTGCGCCCGAGACACAGAGGTCTCAATGTCAATGGGATGATAACGCAAACCTCGCAACTCCAGTGTTTCATCGAGTGAACCCACCACAAACAGGGCATCGTGGCGATCTGATGAGGAAAATAAAGGCGCATGAGAAAATGTCTCTTGGAGCAGTTGGAGCAGTACTATACGTTACATTGTCTGAACATGTATGTGCATTTTTATCCCTTGCAAACTTAAACATTTGGTTGTGAATATTTTCCTGTATAATAAAAAAAAAAACTATAAATCCATCAGTTATTGCATTTTTTTGTTAGGAAAACTGAACATTTGATGGAATTTCTTTTATTTATATATGTAAAAAAAAATGTACGCTACTGTTCTACAAAGTTTAGGGTCAGTAATTTTTTATGTTTTTGAAAGAAGTTTCTTATGATCACCAAGGCTGCTTTTATTTGATATTAAAAAAAAGCTATTTTATTAATTGTGAAATATTATTACACTAAAAATACTCAGCGCAGGGGCAGAAAGAGGACTAGCCAGCTTCTTCCTCCATGTTGCGTGCTGACGGCACAGAGGAACGGCTTGTTGTGAGTGGTTCTTTGGGTGCCATGTTGAGCTTTAAGCACGTTAGTCCACACTCACATGTTGTACGCCACGTAGATGGGATCCAGCTGGTCGGCCAGGAAGGAGTCGCGCAGGTGCATGCGCTGCTTCTCGCCCCGCGAGTTGATAGGGATGACGCCGGGGTCCACGATGACCACCACACCAACTATGAGGTGATGCTCTTTCAGGACTACATTAGTGACCAGGGGAACCAAATCGAGAGCTTCCTGCTCAGATCCACTGAGCTCCACTACAACCACCAGAAGGTTGGTCCATGTAAAGACAGCACTGTAAGATAAAGCATATGATCCAATCAGAGACATGAACTTAAAAACATAAGTATAAAGTATAGTAACAACAAAACTTGTTTAGTGTGGTAATCAGAAACTGATATGTTCAGACAGGAGTGTCAGTGTTCTTGAGGTTCTCACCTCTCAGCGATGCTGCGGTGCGCCCGAGACACAGAGGTCTCAATGTCAATGGGATGATAACGCAAACCTCGCAACTCCAGTGTTTCATCGAGTGAACCCACCACAAACAGGGCATCGTGGCGATCTGATGAGGAAAATAAAGGCGCATGAGAAAATGTCTCTTGGAGCAGTTGGAGCAGTACTATACGTTACATTGTCTGAACATGTATGTGCATTTTTATCCCTTGCAAACTTAAACATTTGGTTGTGAATATTTTCCTGTATAATAAAAAAAAAAACTATAAATCCATCAGTTATTGCATTTTTTTGTTAGGAAAACTGAACATTTGATGGAATTTCTTTTATTTATATATGTAAAAAAAAATGTACGCTACTGTTCTACAAAGTTTAGGGTCAGTAATTTTTTATGTTTTTGAAAGAAGTTTCTTATGATCACCAAGGCTGCTTTTATTTGATATTAAAAAAAAGCTATTTTATTAATTGTGAAATATTATTACACTAAAAATAGCTTAAAAATTTTTTTTTTTTAAATAATTTAATTAATTTATTCCTGTCATGGCAAATCTAAATTGTCAGCGATTACTTCAATATCACATGATCCTTCAGAAAGCATTACAATCTGCTGCTCAAGAAATATTTATTAGCAATGTTGAAAACAGTTGCTGCTTAATATTTTTGTGGATTAATTTATGAATAGGAATTTCAAAAGAAAATGGCTTATTTGAAACAGAAATCTTTTGTGACAGTGTAAAAGCTTTTACTGTAACTTTTGATTACTTCATACACCCTTGCTGAATAAACCATAAAAAAACTTGCTGACCCCAAATTTTTGAATGCAAATGTATAATAAAACATAAAAAATGTAATAATAGATTAGAAAAATAAAATTATACGTCAATAATTAGACAAATTTAATGATAAAATATAATTTAAATTGATACAAATGTATAGTTTGTTGTGCTGGAGCCAGTAAAATGTTGGCAGGGCAAGTGAAGGCTGCGAATATGGTTTATCAAATCCAAATTCAGAGTCTGAACAATCCATTTTGCAATAATACTTTCACAATAATTACAATCTGTAATATAGTACAGACCTCCACTTGCATCCAGCAGCTCTGTCCTCCTGACAAATCCCAGATATCCAGTTCTGGCCCAGAGTGTTTCAGTGTCTCCAAAGCTCAGCCGTGTGTTGAAGTGGTCTGCCTGCAGGCTCTCCTCACCGTAGATGGTATAATAACCACTGGCATTATGAGGACTGCACACCCAGATCTGGAAAACAAGGCAAGAAAGCGATGAAGATGTTAGCCGTCAAACAGAACCTGCTGAGTATATGGAGGGATTTCCGACGTGGACAGTTATACCTCACTGAAACAAGTTGATTTTGTGTTAGTACTCAAATGAAAGTGTGCTTCGTCACCTCGCCTAGATGACAGTCTCCTAATGGTCCTCTCGTCTCTGGGTTCACGATGATTACTCTCACTCCAGGAAGAATCTAAGGCAAGGCAGAGAAAACAATACGGGATGACTGATATGTCTTCTAATAACAGTGTAAGATAAAGTAGGACAGAACTAGGATGGCCTTACAGTCCCAGACTCCATCAGCGGCAGACTCTGAGGAGCTCCTCTCTCCACCAGCCTCACTCTAAGACAGAGAAAGAAGGACAATGTCACACTGCAAGCATGTAGCAGACTGTAGCGGGCTCATCTCACACATACCTGTCATGCCGGAGGGACTTCATGTCTACATAAACAGTGGACGGGTCTGGACCAGCAGTGCCCTGATGGAAGGAGACAGAAATCAAAATAAGGCCCTGCTCTTGCATCATGACACTGTTGATGCAATAAATTTTTTGCCCCAACCTGTAGACAGATGGCCAGGTTGACTCTGGCGCCGAAAGCTGTGCTCACTGCGCGTGGAGACAGGCCCAGGTCTTTGAAGAGCTTGGAGAATGATTGCGTGAGTGTCAAACGAGGCCTCTCTTCAGCGATGACGACACAGCTCCTTACACATGAGAGGTTCACGCCGCGCGCCTGCACATACATCTCTCGTCAGCTTTTATAGACACTTCCACACTATCGTTATCTTGAACATCCCTTTCTGAAAGCTATTTTCCTCACTATTACAGGATTAGTGACCCAAAAATTCTGTTATTTCCTCAACCTCATGCTACTCCAAACCTGTATGACTTCTTCCAACTTCCGAGGAATACAAAATAAGGATTTTTAATAATGTGCTGGTTGTTCTATTGCAGTAAATGGAGATTAAAAAGTGGTGCATTTGGCTTGTGTGTATTTCAATTCTTCTGAAGCCATACGATAGCTTGGTGTGAGAAACTGACCAAAATGTATGTTACTTAAAAGACGATCTGCCCCTGGCAGTGAGATGAAACAGGAACTGGATCAGTCCTTTTGGTGAATGAATCATTCACTGGTTTTGTGAACTGGATCGATCGGATCACTAAAAAAATCTGACTCAAAATAACATTTTGTTTACAAAATGGACATTGCTTCTACATGCCAACCAGAGAGGAGTCTGTTCTCACTTGAACATATCGTATGGTTTCAGAAGACTTGGAATATAGTACACAAGTTGAATGGATCACTTTTATGCTTTTTTTTGGTCATTTTGGAGCTGTAAAGAGTGGCCAGGATATTCTTCTTTTGTGTTTCGCTGGAGTCATACAGGTTCAGAATGACATGTAGATGAATAATAACTTTTATGTGACTGAGTGTGTGACTGTACATTACCGTTCAAGCAAAATTTGGGGTCAGTACAATTTTTTAAGAAACACATTCAGCAAAGATGCATTGATCAAAAGTGACCATTTTTAAAGACTTTTACATTGCTACCAGCATTTTTATTTTTTCCTAACTTTCTAAATCAAAGAATCCAGAGAAATCACGGGTTCCAGAAAAATATTAAGCATCATAGCTGTTTTCAACGTTAATAATAAAAAATGTATTTTGAGCAGATTAGAATGCTTTCTGAAGGATCATGTGACACTGATGACTGGAGTAATGGCTGCTAAAAATTCAGCTGTCATCACAGAAATAACAAATATTTTAAAATATATTAAAATAGTAAATATTTATTTTAACTATTAATACTATTTTTACTGTATTTTTGAACAAATAAATGCAGCCTTGATGAGCATAAGAAACTTTGTTCAAAAACAAATCATACCAACCCCAACATGCTGTTGACTCACCTTCAGAGCTTCAGTCTGTGTGCCAAGGCCCTTGGTGCAGAGCTCCATGACCGAGTATGAACAGAAGGTGTCTCTGATCTTATACTGACTAAGCATGCTCAGCCACAGGGGCAGAGACGTCTCCAGCTCCATGGGAGGGATCAGGATTGACTGGTGACCTGAATAAACACTAGACACACACAGATACAAATTACAGTGACTATTCTAGAATTTCCTTGCATTCCAGTGTCCTAACCAGGTGCGGTCTCAGCTTAACCTCAGATTAACATAAAATAGATGTGATTTATTGCATTACGCCCGGTTAGGTCATATCTAAAAGGTTTGACTGTGTGTACTACCTAGACATACACCACAGCACAAAGCCCAGGCCACAGTAGGGGTCCATGCAGATGGCAATTTGTCTGGACGAGTACAGCTCACACTGCAGTTTGATGGACCGACACAGAGCATTGACCGCTGAGTGAGATATCTAAAAGAAACAAATAAACAAGCTATTTAGGACCTAACCAGTCAAAGATCCTACATACTTGTTCTTGCCGAAAGCAAAATGAACAAGTAAATGGATAGATAAGTCTTGCCTTAACTCCGGTCAGCATGCCTGTGGTGGACACACTGAAGTCCAGGTAGGCCAGCATTTCCGCAGTGGGAGGTTTATAGATGTATGAAGGCCGTTTCCTGGGAAGATCATCTGCACACACAAAATCAGTCAAGTCAGGTATACTGATCTTTCAACAGTTGTCATAAAAGCTATGTGAATATATGTAATTGCTGTACCTGTGTCTATGATATTCGGCCAAGTCTTCACATTCACACTGGCTGCCGCTTCTTTAGACCGCAAAATCTTCATCAGGGTCTGAGTTGTGAGGATGCAGGCTGCTTTGCTCACCTAAAACAGACAACATTGGTCAGATTAACATGCTGCACTTCATAAAAACATAAATGGATGCCATGTGCAAAATAGACTCACATCTATGATCATTCGGACTGTGGGGAGAGTGGCGGCAAGGTTCTGTGGATGAGGAGGCCTGACGGTGACCGGAATGCAGCCCGCATACAGACAACCATAAAAGGAGGCAATTAAGTCTATGCCTGTAGAAAAGATTAAAATATTTCTTGATAACATTCCATGTGCTGTTATTTCTGGGTGTTTAAGGTGCTGAGAAATGCACCTGGTGATTTTAATGACCGGTAGATAAAACCAAAAGGTTTTCTATGTGCCTACCAGTGACTAAAGTTACCATATTTAAATCATCTAAAAAAAAAACACACACACTTGAAAGTTGCAAAATAAATGCATATTAAAAGTTTGTGCATTAATATGTTAAATTCTAGCTGTATATTCACTAAGGTGTGGTCACATTTACAAATGTTTGGTGAATTTTCCTGGGCCAACAAACAATGTATCAATGTTTGCTCGCAGAATTTAAACGGAATTTCGTTGGAGTGACCACACCCTAACATGTACTATGAAAGCTAAGATGGACATCGTTACCGGGAGGATAAAGCAGTACTACGTTGTCTCCAGTGTTAATTCCTCCTCTTTCCAGCAAAGCTGCAGTGATCTTCTCTGCTCGCTTGTGCAGTTGAGAACACGTGGCTGTGCTCACTGCTACACCCTGAAGGCCAAAGCAAGAAGAGTCTCAGTACAAAACGGTTTGACTAAATGATCAGTTTTTTATGGGGGTTGTATGCGTGTCACCTTTGCATTCAGCAGCATATAGAGGACATGATCAGGATCAGTCTGTGCTCTCCACTGCAGGGCTTCAGACAGGAACTGATGCTGTAGGACAGAAGAGGACAGGTCTCAACTTATTATCCATACAAAGACCTCAATAACAGAAATCTTAGCCTTGAATATGATAACAGGATACACAAATCAACTCATAGCATTATTTCAGCAAACAGCATTACTAAGCCAGCAAACAAAAAAGGATCTAAGTTTTATAATATATATTTGGGGGGGATGATAGTTCACATAGTTTGTCTGTATATTTAAACACCCATAGCAGGACTCATGCAGGTAGCGGCAATAATGACCACACCATGCAGCAAAAGAGCAAGTGTATTCCTTCTGTTTCCAAAACATAATGTTTTCATCTCAGAGTACAAAAAAAATAAAGAGGTACTTGTGAGACGAAATTTAAAATCAGAAATTAAGCCAATTTTGTAAGATATAAATATGAATTGTGACAAATACAAAGTCATAGTTACAAGAAACAGTCACAATTTTGAGATGTTAAGTTAATAAAACCTATTCTCCATTTTGCTTTTTTGTTGAAGTAAAGCCAAAATTTCTTTAATAAAATCTATATCTTTATGCATGTTTTTCATCTCTAAGGCCATGAGGTTGCTGTTGTTATGGCTGGTTGCAAAGGGGAATTGAAGCTCAGCGCACACAAATAGCAGAGCGTTGCTGGCATTCAGGCTTACCATGTTAGTGGGCCACACACAGAGCTACAGCCCCCAGCACGAGAGAAAAAGACAGACCAGAGCACAAGCTTAGAGGAGTTCTCTTTAAACTCTATTTGTGTTGAGTTAATGACACTATCATTTAAACCAGATCGAAAGGTGGAATCCCAGTGGTGTCTGGAGGTACTCAGAAACTGGAGGCTTGATGTTGCAAAATAATTATAATAGAGTTAAAGTTGTGTATTATGATACAATTATAGATTTTATTACTTTATTACAGAGATAAGAGGCATTATTAAAATTGCCTATCATCATATCCTGGGACATCTCGCAAGGATATCTATAGTAAGTTTACTAAGCAGTGGTCCTGAAATCTTTGGCTAACCTTTCTGGATTGCTCTTGGTCATCAATGAGCCCAAGATCTCTCCCACTAGCCTGTGCGATCCTCTTTCCTGCCACAAGGTTGCCCACCATAATGGAGGCGGGACCGACTCCCACTGTGAAGAAAGGAAAGTATATTTTTATAGCAAATTTCACACATAATGGTAATTTAAAGTGCTTTACAGATGAATAATAAAGATTAAGATAAAAAAAAAAGTTAAATAAAAAAAAAAACGAACAAAAAATATAATTAACTAATAATTAAAAATAAACCAATAAATTAAAATAAAAAAGAAATGGAAAATAAATATAAAAGGACAATCTGTAAACATAAGTGCAGGCTATAATATATGAAACCATTTTAAAATCAGATGTTCTTTTAAACTTTTCTCAGTTAACTTGATGCTTAAAGGTTATTCCCCTCATCATATTAAAAAAAGAAGTGAGACGATTATTTAGGTTTTGATTAAGATGCAAATCAAGAGTACCTGGTTGCTTTTGCCTGGGTTTTGGAAGGTTGGTCACACATGTATGAGGGCACATGAGAATATTGCAAGGGTGCAGAGATCCCTCCAGAAAGTGCTGCTTGGTCTCAGACACATGAATACCACCCAGAGGAGTTTTGGGTAACGTGTTAGCAGGGACCAGGGCCAAACAGTACAAGCCCACCTGGTGGATACTGTCTATCGCCTGTGGGAAAGCATGCAGAAAACAGGGAGTCATGACACCTATTACTGTGAAACAGAGAGTCAAAATCTATAAATGGCAACATTGGATACTGTAAATTTGTCATTGTTATCTGCCTCATTACCTTTAGCCTGTCAGCTCAGGCCCATTCATCTCAATTGAGGGTAACTTGTGTATTACCTGTAGGACTCTACTCATCCACTGGAAACTGTCCTCTTCATTGGCATCAGGCCTCTGCTCTGCCACAATCACTATTCGCTCATCATAGAAAACAGTGACGGAGAACACGGCAATTCTGCGTACACGACACACAGTCTCAGAAGAACCACATCACACTATGACATTAGTCTACACACTTTCACCTGTAATCTGAATGAGTTTTGCGTCATTCGTACCTCCCTCGGTAGACAGTTTTGACTGGCTCTACCGCCAGCGCTGTGGCCACCAGGTCGTCTGCATTGTGTCTGCGCCCACTGACTGAAAGCAGACCCTCTATCTTTCCAACCACAAACACCAAACTTCCCTGAGGGCACAGAGAAGAGTTTTTTCAATAAAAGACAGATTACCACGTCACAAATCTGCAAATAGGCTTTGTTCTACAGGTAATCCAACTGGCCCCAAATGGTCAGAATGGTAGTCTATATACAGTATATATAAGCAGAGATGCTTTAAAAATGCAACAAAGTCTACTATACTATTACTTACCGGACCCACAAAGCCCAACAGTCCAGTGCGTGTGAAGGGAACATCTCCAATAGGGGTACCACCTGAGTTTACAGGAATCACCTGCAGACAATAAGGTCAGTGAGACATTGTTTTGAGTGAATGTGTTTATTTTGTGTATTGATTGTAGAAATATTTCTTCCTATGCATTTTATCCATACCTCAAAAGTGTTCTTGGTCACCCCGGGAAGGCCGTAGTACATGGTGCCTCCGGCACGTGAGTTCAAAACTATCTCTCCGATCTCATCGGTCTTACAGAGCATGGGCGGCCCATCGGGCTTCACAATACACATCAGAGCTGTGGTTCAGAAAGAAAAAACAGAAATGCTCTCTAATGTAATGCATTTACTGAAATCTTAAAATCCAAAAATATTAAATTAACTGAAATGAAAAAAAAAATCAAGGGTGCATTTAAGACTATACAATCATTTATATTTATAAAAAAATAATATATATTTTTCCCACAGCATTGCAGTGATAGTGAGCATTCAGACAAATTTCAAATGATGCATGAATGTGGTTTGGACTGTGTTCATAAACATTGCATTTTGTGCATGCTACTAAAAAGATTTAAATCGGATACAGTTTTTTTCTGATGTATTGCATGCTAAATTTGTTGTCAATACCCATTAGTAGTTTCCAAGGTGGCAGTTGGTTTCAAACTTGGCAACAGTTCACGTCATGTATACATGATCTACAGTGAAATTTTTAAATGGTTGCGGAGTCTCACCTCCAGGCATGACATGTCCTACATCTTGCACGGTAAGGGCAGAGTTCTTATCCTCTGTGTTAACCCGAATCACCCCGTGACTGAGTCCTGCCATTGACAGAATGGCCCTGGCAGGGAGCGGAGCACCCTGAGCACCAGGCCTAAACACATCAAGTGACTTTAAAACATATCTATGGTAATTAAGAGTATAATGATGATGTGTATAGCTCTTGATACATGCAGGTACCTGCGGATAGCCACCGTCATGGCCTCAGGGGAGGAAGCACATGGACAGATCATCTCAGGTTTCAAACCATGAGACTGAAACACGTTGAGGAATGCATCACATGAAGAGACAGACCCTAAGACAGAAATATGGATCATTTATTTGCGCTGAAATACAGAAACACAGCCACTTCAAGCTATTTCTCACAGCTTGTTTACTCACAAGGATTGGCTCCATCAGCTACAATCAGCATGCGCAGGGAAGACAGATTGGTGTCTTTCTGATCTCTGTGAGCCATCATAGCCCAGTGCAGATCTCTACATTTCACCAAGGCCACACGAGCTGTGCGCACACATATACATACATGAAAGACATTTAGATATTGTAGCACAGAACTGTTGATATTTTTATAAAGTGCCATGATTTCTTTCTAGATGATTGACCATCAGCCAGATTGCTGAAGCAATTATATGCACAGATGATGAGGATGTCTTTACCTTTGTGAACATGAACTCTCTGCACCCAGGACAGCGGACAAGCCTTCATGACAGAGTATGGCACACTAATAGTGTGGATCCTGTTCATGACACTCTGTAAGAAAACAGAGTGAGTCATGCGGGAAGTCTGTAAAACGGAAAAGAACTCACAAAACGTAAATATTCAGTAATGCTCACTGTTACAACTCCATGCCAAAGGCCTGAGTCTTTCTTGAAATCCAGGACATTAACCAGTGTTTCTCCTAAGAAAAGAGAACAGGAAAATACAATTCTCTTTGAAAAAAGTACATTACTATAATAGCAAAATGTTCTTTTATTTTATTTTATTTTAGTTTAGTGTTGTCAAAAGTACCGACCACGATACCATTCGGTACTGAAATTTAAAAAACGTCCATTTCCCGCTATGATTTGAGCACTGTTGAGCAGATTCTTAAACATTGCTGATTGGTCATTGAAGCCAGTCACAGACGTATATCTGTTGAGTGCGTGAATACAATGACCAATCAGCAATGTTGAGGAATCTGCTCAACAACACTCAAATCTTAGCAGGAAATGGACGTTTTTTTAAATTTCGGTACCGAATGGTATTGTGGTCGGTACTTTTGACAACAGTAATATAATATAATATAATATAATATAATTATAGTTATAATATAATATAATTATATTATATTATTTGTTGTTATTGTTAATTAAACTATTAAGAATAATTTTTGATACCTGAAATAAAGCTGAAATAAAATAAAATATAAATATTAGATGAAAAACTTAAATTAGAAATTAGTTGCCTTGGCCACTATCTGATATAAATCAGTTTAAGTTCAAGCACTTAAACTAGCACATAAGAAAAACTAAGATTTAAACTAAAATTAAAATGAAACTAAAAATACAAAAATAAAAGCTTATTCAAAATCGCAATAAATACTATAATACTAAAATAACACTAATTGCAAAAATCATTTTAGACCTACATTTAAAGTGTACAAATTTAAATTCTAAAATTACAGGCTGATAAATTAAGATAAGCCAGTCAATAGGTCAAGATTCAAGTCTGGATAACAATTTGATGAAGAATTAAATGGGGAAAGTAATCTCCACTTCAAATTACTATTCAGAAAAATAATCTAATTAGTATAAATCTAATGAAATAATCTATGACTAAGCACTGGCTATAAATTAATTTATCTCATTACTTAATTCAAGAACCAAGAGCCGCTCAGCATTTTGCTACTCCAATAACAGGTTTACATGCATTTGTTGTACAACAGTAGTGTAGCACTCACCTTCACAGTAATTACAGGCCTGCGTTAGAGCCTGACAGTGTGTCAGCATGGAGATCTTCGACACAGCCACTCCCATCACTGTACCCTCCTTAGAGGCCTTGTACTGAAAACACACACATCACAGATTTAGACAGATTGAAAGGATTCTTACTCATCTAAACAAATGTGCGGTCTCCTGCCTGCACTCACCTCTATGTAAGCAGTGTCAGTGTTTGCAGTAGGAATGTGCGGCTGCCAGTCCTTGGAGGGTTTGGTGAGATACTTAGTATCAGTGACCACCCATTTGAGCCGAGGCCATCCTGTAAGAAAACAGGTTAGACTTCCATTCTACAGCTTCAAAAGAAAACTTAATGAATTTGATGAAGCAAGGTGATAAAATAAGAAAAAGCAACAGGGAGCTAACCTTTAAATTGCATTATTTCTCCATTCTGGGTCTTTGGGAGTCCTTTTAGACACACTTCACTAGTGAGAGCGAGACCCACACCACAGCTGCCCAATAAGAAGCCTATCTGCTGACTTCCTGCATCCTAAAAATCAGACAAACAACTCTGAACACTTCATATAGCCGACATCATGTTTGAAGAGTTGTTCATACTTAATCTTCTCTCATACCTTCCGAGATAAAGGCACCTCTATTGGGACAGGAATGACCTCGGCGAGAAGGCACCCGTAAAAGGCCACCCAGAACATCCCAGGGTCACTGTTAGGATAAACTAACGCCACCTAAAGGGAGAAATATGGAGAATAAGACAGCCTTGAGCTGAGAGCAGTATATGATTTCAGTACACCAAGTACTGTGTTGAAATCTTACCCTATCTCCAGGTTTCAGAACTGGTTCATTTTTGGTGCCAAGTTTGTTTAACAGCGTGTACGCCAACTTCAGACTGCGACTCCACAGTTTACCTACAGAGATCAAGGGGTGACACAAGCTCAGACAAATAATAAATATAGTAGCATATGGGTTTTGAATGACATGAGGGTGAGTAAATAATGACAGCTTTCATTTTTGGTGAACTATTCCATTAAAACATCTCAAAACTACTTGTGCCCATCCAAACATCTTACCATAAGTAAGGATGTAGAGTGGTTTGCCGGTGATGTCCAAGGCAGTAAGGGCTGGACTCTTGGCCTGTGTGGCTCCCCAACGTGCCAGTGCCGCCTGCAGAGCTGGAGGCCAGTTACTGACCACCCCTAGTGGCTCCCCCTTTACTGGAATGATCTGTCGCCCCTCTGGCTTGGGTGTGTTGGGACCTGGCTGGGGAACTGTAAGTAAAGAAAACAAAGCATTTAGTTACAGTCGGGTCCAAAGGTCTGAGGACACTGAAAATCTGGGACTAATTCAAGGTCACTAATCAGGTAAATTTGTGACTCTGATCAAGTGACTATTTATAAAGATTTTCTTGTTTCCACTGAGGCTCAAGATGCTCTTTGGATCATTCTTAAATCATGCTGAGAGCAAGATAATCAGGTTCTTCAAAAACTTGTAAAAATTATATTCTGTTATAATTTGTATCAATTTTTTTGTTAAATTATAAAATAATTTAAAAGCAGAATACAGCAAAAATAGCTTCATACATTCAACAATCTCTTCAGAGTCATCCAGGAAGAACTCGCTGAGTGGAGGCCGCTTGGGTCTCTTTAATGTGTTGAGCAGCTGCTGTATTTTGGTGGAGACATGACTGTGTGCTGGAACACCTGTTGACAGAAATATTCTCATTCACCTGTTCATATTACTGAAATGTGAGCTGGTCAAAGGACACCATATGGAACAGACAGAGTCAAAGCAAATACAGATGATTCAATCAGGAGTTTTGTCACAACAAGCAAGCTGGAACAACACACAGAATCAAACAGGACCAAGTTGGGAGGACAAAACCACTGGGTGTCACTGCACTGCACTAAACACCCCTCCACCCCTACCTTTTCCTACAGTCAGATGGCATCACGAACAAGGAGAAAGCAAAAAACATTCAAATGTTAACAGAAAAACATAACCATGTCAATTTACAATCTCTCTTAAAAAAGGCATTGACAGGAAAAGTTTTGTGTTGCTCATTCGGGAAAGTGAATAGTGCTAATAAACGCGAATGATGAACCAGGCATCACTTTTATACTTAACAGGAAGTGAAAAAAAGCCATTCAAATCAATTAATTTACATTATTGTTTTACAGTCGCTTGTGATTACTGGATAAGGATTTTTTTTTAAATAGGTTTTCTTGCAAACAAAATATTTTAGAGCTGAGCTTAACTGGAATTACTCGTATAAAAAACAAACCCCCAATTATTATTATAATTAATATATTTAAAAAACTAATTCTAAACCTAATTTTTAAAATCCTCAAAATTAAGATATAAACTGCAATAATATTTTCTATCAATTAGTTATATCTTACGATATCTTGAAATTTCTAAAAGCATTAATTAATTTATAATTCATTTAATATAAAAATATATACGTTTTTAATAACAGCTAATTAGCTATCTACCAAATGTTAATATTAAATGTTAATATGGGATGTTGTAAAAGAAAAACTGCTATTGGGTAAGAAAATACACAAAAAAAAAATCACAAAAACACAGACTAATAGGAGTACATTATTAGCAATGTTTCATAGGATGAACAAATCAATCAATTCACAAAAAAAAATCTTAATATTTTAATACAATATTTTGCTTTGAATCAAATATTCAACACAGAGCTAGATATGTGGTGTTGCCCATACCGCCGGCAGTGTCCATCATGCTGGAGCGGCTCTGGCCGCGGCTCATGCCCTTCACTGCGATGTTGGGTGGCAGGCCCACTCTGGAGTTCCTGTCCTGAGGCACTGTGGACGTGACGTCAGGCGGAACGCTGCTGCTCTCTGCAGTGAGGACACATGACAGCACAGTGATTCATCCGGTGAACCCGTTCACATGCTCAATATGAAACACAACTGAACAAACAGGTTTGATTAGTTGTATTAATGCTGACTGATTTGGAAATTATGATTTGCTACTGCTTTGTTTTGCCTTGACCAGGTTAATAGAGGTCAAATAGTGCCTACGTAAGTGTGAGACAACTATAAAACTGAAGCTCTTTTGTGTGTGTATTAGTGGTTGTCAATGATTCAGCACCTGAACATGTGTGTATGTGTGACTCATTATCCTGCAGTACCTATGCGGGTGTGTGCCAGCACATCAGCGAGCACGCTGGTCTGCCCCTGGCTGTGGTTGTGAGTTTTGCCGTCTCCATGAGAGAGGGTGGAGGAGGCGGAGGAGGAGGTGGAGGAGCCCTGGACAGAGCGGTTGATCCAGTACTCAGGACTCTGGAGATTCTGAGCCAGCATTGCACTGATTGCGGCCTGACGCCTCCGCAGGGAGCCCTCGTCCTCTGATGCCGATGATGTATCTGTGGCGACACATATACAATAACAGTTAAAAAAAGCTATTTTTGCACAGAAACAAAAAACTAAATGCAGATAAGACAACAAAAGGCAGACAGATATATTGCCTTAAGAGTGTATTAGCAGTGAAATTGTGGTTACTTAATTAAATTAATCATATGTATCAAATTTGCTATATATACAGTGGTGTGAAAAAGTGTTGGCCCCCTTCCTGATGTGGCCAGGGTGTGCCCTAAAGGTTTGGGTGTGCCTGTATTTTCTGAGACCCTGCTGGTCAGTGAGATCTGGACAGAAGGAGCAGCAGAAGGCTTGTGGGCGAAGTGGGACCAACCGGGAGGAGTGCAGTTTTCCGCAGGAGATTGAACGAAGGCTGAACGCCGCTTAGTGGGCATGGGAAGGGCCATCTTCTCCTCTTTATGCCTGGCCAGAGCTGCCTGCACAGCCTCTGTGTGAATATCTATCAGACGGATGCAAAGAACAATGAGAAGAGAGAATGAACAGTACAGAAAGGCAAACGGAGAGAAAAACAGTTACACAATGCCACATGACAGGAGGCAGATGAGACATCCAGCAATGTCACCAAACAGTGACTGTAGTTACTAAACTGACTCATGTAGAGACAAAGAAATTTCTCTTCGTGGTGACAAATACATTAGAGAGCTACATAGAGGCATTCAGTAACACAATGTATGTTTATTTGGGCCTGGTTTAAGAAACAACTTGAGGTTTGGCTGGTTAGTACCTTCTGGTCGATGCTGTAACTACACAACAAGAAGACAAAGCATCTTTCTCCATTGCTAACTTTTCCAAAATCCTCCATATTCCAAATATTATAGATGTTTTGCCTTGTAAAAATTTGAAATGGGCTTCTTTGGGTCAGTCTCAAAAAGTATCGGTAGAAATGTAAATTGCTGTTCCAAAATGTTGTTCCAAACTCGTAAGACATCTTCGGAAGAGAAGAAATTATTGAATAAAGTCGTTATTTCTGTTTTCTCTGCACACAAAAAGTATTCTTGTAGTTTCATAAATGTCACATGGACTATTTTAATGATGTCCTTACTACCTTTCTGGGCCTTGAACGTGTCAGTTCCCTTGCTGTCTATGCAGGGTCAGAAAGCTCTCAGATTTGATCAAAACTATCTTAATTTGTCGAAGATGAACGAAGATCTTACAGGTTTGGAATGACATGAGGGTGAGTAATTAATGACAGAATTTTCATTTTTGGGTAGGGATGTAATGATTAACTGCGAGCCGGTTGAAAATCGATCCAAATATGTGACGATTCAAATCGGTTGAGATGCTAAACAAATCGCGATTCAATTAGGGGTAGGAGCTTATATGAATGTATGTCTGAGGGGAACTTACTGTCTTTAGAAAAGTTTAGATGGTATTTTTTCTTTTCATCTTGCCTCTGTATAATGCATATTAAAGTTCATAAGTGCAGCGCTGCTTTGTTTACAGCGGAAACCAAGGAAACACTTTAAGTGCCACCTGCTGGCAGAGAGTGAATCTGCGTCTCATTCAGCTCATCTGCTGTTTCTGTTTCATCTAGATATTTTTTATGCATAGTTTCACATAACTAAAGTCAAGTCTGTTTTTGCTTCAAATTTCGAAATTATACAATGTAATTTAGATTAAAAACTGCTCAAGTTGCATGTATGCAGCATCTTTGTTTGGATCATGATTAAAATGCAGTGGTTGCCTCTAATTTTAAATGGAAAGAGCACAGACAAAGCCTTAGTTTGTTTATATGAAGAGATTTATTTTATTTGCGTTACTTATTTATTTGATTTGGGGCTTGTTTTCAAATTTCAATTTAGTTTTGTTATTTACATTTATATTATATTTAAATTTTGTTATTTAGCAGACGCTTTTATCCGAAGCAACTTACAATGAGGACAATAGAAGCAATCAAAACCAACAAAAGAGCAATAATATACAAGTGCTATATTAGTATATTATTATAGTTATATTTCAATTTCACAAAGAAACATGCAGCATTTTGTCCAAGTAATAATAAAAGGACACATTTATTTATAATTTGTCTTAAATCTCATTTTGTAAAAAAAAAAAAATTGTGACTCAAATCGAATCGTGAAATCAAAATCGTGAAACGAATTGAATCGTGAGTTGAGTGAATCGTTACATCCCTATTTTTGGGTGAACTATCCCTTTAAGACTAATGTAATTGCTGCTGAAAATTCGAATGTCATCACATGAATCTATTGCATTTTAAAATATATTAAAATAGAAAAAAAGTTATTTTAAATTGTAATATTTCACAATATTACTGTATTTCTAATAACATAAATGCAGGCGAGAAACATTTAAAAAAATCTCCATCACATGCTTTCAGATGGAGCTGCATTTAGCTACACAAGCTACGTAATATCGCGTTCATGATCGCAGATCTAGACTATTCACAGAACCGGCTTTACTGACGAGATACGCATGACAATCGCATGCGACTTATCTTGCAGCCCTATTACCAACCCCAAATTTTTGAACAGTAGTGTACTGGCAAACTGATTTTGCTTACCTGACCGGTAGCGGTCATCTCGTGTTCCCCCACTGCGGTGAGCTCGGTGTTGCCGTGGGGCGGCAACAGGGATGGCATTAGGGGTAGTGGTAGGGTTTGAAGAAAGGCCCGGGGTTAGCTGGATGCTCACATCCACATCTATAAAGATCACAGGGTGAGTAAATAATGTTGAGGGTGAGTAAATATATATATACAGTATGAGGATGGAAATTAGACACGGACAGGGCAGAAGTGGACAGCAGGGGGTGAACTTGAACTTCAAAGCGTTAAAATGGCACCTTTGAAGACACACTTGCACATTTGATATTGGGGGTTTCGAATTAAAACATATCTACACAACAAATATGGCTACATATTGCGATTGAGATATTTGAAGGTCAAACCTATATTGTGTAAACAACTTGTCCCTGCAATCTAGTATGTAATGGTTTGTGTAACTATAGAACAAGGACGTCAAATATGAGGTCACTGAACTGTCAAAACCCACCAATATAGTGAACTTTCCTGTTTCAGTTCCTCTTTCATGCCTGCCAGTGGGCTGCTGCTTACAGGAAGCCTATATGTATGTGTGTGTGTTTGTGTGTGGACATTAACAGGCCGCAAAGACCCTGAGAGAAGTGTGATGGCATGATCGGAAAATAATCAAATTACGCGATGCTTCCAGATAAAAAGATGGTTTACTAATGGCTGCTTTGGCCAAAATACTATTTCAAGTGTTCATTTTATTTTTAAAGTGCAGTCTCTTAATGAAGATATTGATGCCTTCAGCAGGTGAAGTTCTACAGATCACCATTAGGGTGCAGCATGGAGCCACACATATGCAAACAGTACAGAGAAAATAAAAACAAATTTCAGATGCATATTTTATGGAACTGGGTTAAAATAGAGCAACATAATTAATGCAATGTCACAGATGTCATACTTCTACATTATATTTAATTGACTCGACCAGTGTGACGATGACATTGTGTGGCACGCAAAAGAAGAAACAGAGAAGAGGAGGAAAATTAGCAGAGAGGAAGTCTGTGTGGTGAGTCTTACTTTGGGTCTGTGGTACGAACGGTGCGAGAAGTTTAGCTCGTTTCTTTTCGTAGCCCTTCCGTGTAATGTCACCTGTAGGAACAAAATACAAAAGACACATATATATTTTGTTTGAGATGTGATGGAGCCACACGTCTACAAACATAAGCTGAGCTTTCTGGCTTTGTGACGACTGGTGAACAGACAACACACATATTAAGTTTCTCGCAGTTTATTTCACAATTAGCGGTTATTGCAAAAGCAAAGCATCCCTACTATTGCTTAGGGGTGGGAATCACCAGAGGCCTCACGGTACGATATTATCACGATACAATATTATTGCGATTTTAAATATATTGTGATATTCTGCGATATATTGCAATTTATTACCTTTTTCCAACTTCAAATTATGTCCCCAAAGGAAAACTTTGACAACATCTGTTTTAACTAAAAATAAACATTTCTCAGTTTATCTCACTTCAGTTTTATTGTTGCAGTGCTAAATGGGATTGTCAAGCAGACAAACTGACCAACACTTTCATGAAAACCTGTCATAAATGTTGTATGCACCTGGCAAACTCAACTATTTGTATTACAGTCTAATCTAGTCCACCTTAATTAAATGTAAACAGGTATGCACTGCTGTGCTACTACAGGTATTTTGAACAGTGCAACTTGAAATTGTACTAAAAAGTTGTGCAGACCCTTCAGCAATTGGGGCATTTGAAAGTAAATTACTGTTAAATTTAAATTAAATTAAATAAAACATGTAGTCTTACATCTAGGGATGCACC